CATTCCACACCCACCCCCCAAACCCAGGTCAGCACCACATCTCGCACCATGATTTCGAACCCTCCGCATTCCGCACCTAACCCCGCACCCAGGTCAGCACCACATCCTGCACCCAATTTCCAGGCCCCACATACCCGGATACGATTTTCACGTGTTAAGCGTACCACGGGCTTACCAAGTACTAACCCAAGAACCGGTTCCCGGGGTCCCTGGTCCTCCCCGGAGCAAGTCCAGCTCTTGTTCGTCCCAAGGGACTCAAAGTAGGAGCACCACACCTCAGACGGCTCAGGAGCGAAGTCCACCGGCTCCGTGTGCTGAAACGCACCCGTGACGCTTGTGCTGGGTCATGAGCAAGTCCAGTGAGGGAAGGAACCGGTGAGGAGGAGGAGGCAAGAATGCCCAAAACAAAGACACGTCTCATGAAACATCGCTACTTGGTGAGTCAAACGCGTCGAGTCAACAACAAGGGTTTGGGGCTCCTCGTGCTGATTGGACCGGGTTGTGCTCCCCAAAGGAACCATTCTACGCATTCTATCAGATTCTATCATGTTTCACGGCTTTCTACAAGTCTCATGAAACACCGCCTCCCAAAATCATTCTCTTCACAAACCCTCAAGTATGCGGATGGTGCACAGGTTTATTAAGCTGAATAGCTGAGTACAGAACTGGACGAGTGACGCCCTCACCCCCCCGGCAGAACTGCCCCACCTTAGGGCCTGGAACCAAATGGTGGATGACCCTTAGTAGCGTCCTTGCTCCTAATAGCGATGCCAGGAGCCCCTGGTAGCTTCTTGTTCCTAGTAGTAAGGCCAGGAGCCCTTAGTAGTGTCCTTGCTCCTAGGAGTAAAGTGGAAAACTGTGGTAGACACATGGAGCCTCAACACCAACAGTATGAAAGAACCTCGATCAATAATTCAAAAAGAAGAAATACAAACACCGTCCTCCTGATGTGTTGGACACTCAAACTATATAGAAGAACACAACATAAAACACACCAGACTCAAACTGAGTGTGTTGGGGTCTCCTCATCTTGAGACAATCTGGAAACACATCAACATCCGCCTCACCTGCTACCCTACTTCAAGGAAAACAGCATATTTTAATATTTCTTTAATATACAGTGATAGAACTTGAATCTCTCCTCTCATCAACCATCCTCATCCCGTCAGTCAGAAGACTTTGAGCTTCTTGGTCGCTTCTGCAGCTCGAAAAATGTCCAGGGTCGCATGGGGCACCAGCCCAAACTCTGAGCCGTAGCCTTGGTCGCTGACGCATCGAAACAGGCACCATTTGATGGTAAAGATGGGTGAAACGGAATCAAGAACAAACACCTGTGCGTTGCTGACTGTCTGAGCTTTTTGAAGAAAAACATCCAGGGTTCTACAGGGTTGAGCATCGTTCCGCTGCAAAGATGGAACCTGAGAACAAGACATCTCCCTCCCACTTGACACTGGAAGGACGTTTTTCTCAACGGTATATGGCCATTCCACTTGGTCATAGGATGGTAGACAAGAAGTTCCGTCAGCAGTGAGTCAGATCTGCTGATGTGCTATAGATCAAGGGAAGGAAGCGATCTCGTTGTTTGCAAACAACCTTCTAGGGTGGCATAGGTTGAATTGAAATGGTGCGAGCTTGGACTAGCTTGGCCTGGGGCTTGGGCCAACATAGCTCACAGGCACTTGGGTTAGCCTGTTGAACCCAAGTAAGGACACCCCAGCAACTACAGAATCATCCAGCTAAAAGCCCCCACATCGTGAATGCATGTCTCAGTATTTGCCGCAATACAAAAGATGTGTAATGTTCAGCCTCGTGAATCAAGCAGCGATAGTAAAGCAATTGCGTTGCAAAATAATTGCAAACACAATGCATCATAAGGCAAAGGAACATACAAAAGAACGAAGCAAAAGCACAATGCAAAATGACGGGCAAACACATGCCCAACAAATTGCAATATGCAAAAAACACAAACTCTCAATCTCAGGCGGGATTTGTTGATGCTTTCAAAATCAGCAAGCATCCAAGTCCTTCTTTGGGTCAGCCCAGACCTTTCAGATTGATCTTACGCCGCATGCTTGTACCCTGTGCTTTGCTCTTGTTGCTTTAGTTGGGCAATGTCAAGTTTTGCTCTTGTCTTGGCCAGGTTGTTTGCGCGGCACAACGACACAGAATAAGAGCAGGAGCATCAAGAGACCCACGCCCACACCTCCTCTACCTCTACTGTCTCTACTGTCTCTACCTTCATCCTCATACCAAACCTGTCCCCCTGTGCCATCCCGATCTATTCCTTTCGACCGGGTATCCACCGTTGCTGAGACCAGCCACCACTTAGGGCATTCATGATGAAATGTATAATGTCCAAGACATTTGTTAAAACCTTCGATGTAGAAAACTCAAATTAATTCACATTAATTACTTAAGGCTGACACACCACATCAACTCCACATCAATCCACCCAAGTCGCCTAGCAAGGTGTGGCTCTTGCCGCTCATTGGTGGTCCACAGGCGATCACTGTGCCACTGGCGTTCGAGGCAATGGCTTCACCGATGAGCTTCGTCAGCAGCTCCTGGTGGCTCGCCAGGTGTTACTGTACCACCAGGGATCGGAGAGCGGGTTAGGGCCTGCTCACCGGCTCTGCGGCGCAGGAACAAGGTGTGGCGCGCCAAAAGGCCGCCGGACCTAAATACACACGACTCTAAAAGCATGGGGATCTTCACGTTGTCCAACGACTTGAGAGGTTGATCTGTGCACCTCAGGCCCCGAGACTCTGCGCACCATTCAGACGGTCTGTTCCGTCTCGTCTCGCGTCCGGTCTGATTTCCGACACCCTGGGTCTACCAGCAAACGATGGAACATGTGACAACATGACCAAGACGCGGCTTCGCTTTTTCTGCTCCACCAAGGGTCTGGAGCACCCAGAAAACGCCCGAAAAGGAGGAAAACCAACCCACATCCACCAACCACACACCATGGCCTTGTAGACGGCCTGCTGTGAATGCTGAGGCCCAAAGATATAGTGCGCCGGATAGGTCTCGCCACCATACGCCACCGCCACCCTCTGTGCTGCTCGTGCCCCTCGACGCCGCGCATCGGCAGTCGGCGCGGCCGCGCGTGGCGCGGTGGCGCGCGTGGGGCCGCGCACGGTGGTGCGGGGGTTGCGGGGTGGCACGGCGAGGCGTTCAGGAAGATCCTGTCGAGGCCGGAGGGTTGAGTGCACCAAGGAAGCCAAAAACAAGTACAATGGTCAGGTCAAAGAGCATACAATTCTATGCAGCTGGGTACTTGAAAGGTCCTCTCATGATCTCTCATGTATGACATGTATGAAGCAAATAGCCTCCAGTCTGTCAGTACAATTCAAACGCGTAGAAACCAAATATGTCAACCGTCATCTGCCAGTGGTCCAATCAATATGCTCACATTTCCGCTCGGAGAGGCTTATTCGACATTTACATCCAGCACATTGTGGTCTGATCGTCTTAACTCCTTCGACTACTATATAATCCCCTCGTCCTAACAAGGCTCCCGCCATAACCCCTGGCTCAGAAGTGGATCTGTTCCCCACCGGTGTCGTGCTTCGAAGGAGAGCCATTCTTTAAAGCTTTGGACATGCAGTCTTTGGGGGTCTCCTGTTTGGACGGGTTGCTCAGCCCCCACTCCTGTCAGGGTGGATGAACCTCACCGGTGAAGTCTCCTGTTCATTCTTCAGCCACGGGCGAATCCGTACTGCAGCCACCGGGGCCGATCGTGCGTTTCGATCTGCCATGGCTGTTCTGGCTGTTCATTGGCAGTTCACGTGCTTCGTCGGACGATGGGCTGATTGAAAGCCCACAGGTGGGCAGAAGGACCAAAAATGATGGAACATGATGGAGAACAAAAAACATAAGTTGTGAATCATGAGGCAGTCGGTTGCAGACTGAAATGGTCTAATACATGTGCCAAAACTTCTGCACCTTGGAACAGATTATTCAGCGTCAGAATCAGGTTTTTTCTTTGGCCGGCTCTGAGTTCCGAGATTGCTTTGACCTAATAGCGATGGCCTCCAACCGACTAAGTTCAAGAATGCTTTGACCTCCCTATGGGCCATTGTTCAACACATCATTTTGGAGGCCAGGCAGCACTGGGTCCCGGAAGTCTAGTCGACAGAAATGACACTATAGAGTATTCTGGCATCGGCAAACTTGGCAGTTGAACAAAAAAAACGGGCCGGGTTAATATGGTTGAATGCAAGAAACGCTTCTATTCTCTTTTGCGGTGACTTTTGCGTTTGGTCTAGACAGTCTAGACCAAACCTGGGCTGCAATCTGCGTCCCCCTGCTTGCGTTTCTAGATAAGCATGTAACATGTCACGCCCCTGCTGTAATTCTTCTGCTGCAGCCGGAAGTCAGGGATGATGAATGACGCATGCAGGAATGCCAAGCTGCCAAAATGTCTTGCAGGAGTAAGCACTCCTCATCCGTGACTACACTAGACCAGACGAAGATCAACAACCGACCATCTATCAAAAGACTTTGATCCCTCATGCGTGTCACGCCGGGACAATCCCTCGTTCCGCGACCGTTTGGACAAGTGAAATGGACGTGTCCCAAACAAGGAGGACCCTCCCGGATGTCCTATGAAGAGTCCCTCGCCGCAGCGTGATCTGTGCAATGAACTGCCTATGAGTACTATTAGATCATGTCCGACATGAACCATCCCTCCAAACCCACAGGCACACCTCGCAACATAGAGACTGGTGGAGTCAGTCCGGGATAAGGAAATACTCCTTCCTCTAGACTCATGTTACGGCCACATATGCTGCTTGAGGAGAAAGGCTGCACATGTGATTTTCAAACCTCTGAGTGTCTCACATGAAATTCTGAAAATGAAATTCCGCCAAGACCTCTCCTTTGAAGCCGTCCTGTGCCGCGAAATCTTCGCATGTGTCAACAGCTGATGAGAGAAGAGCGGGGGGAAAACTAAAACACATGCCTCAACCGAAAATTATCCGATAAAAAGCACTGTTTCCAAACGGAAATGAGCTGAGTGCTGAGAATTCAAATCTTTCTGATTGCCTGCATGAAACGCCTGAAAATAGTTGATTGGCCAACTTTTATTTCACATGGAAATCACCCAAATATTGAAGCTCAAATCCCAAGTGCCTTGACCTTCAACTTCATGATCTTCTGTAAAGAGGTCAGGATCTCCTCTCTCGAGGTATTGGCCTGCACAAAGGCAGCTGAAGCTAATCGAAACCAATGGAAAAGAATAGTTTCAGAGACCCCCATTTAACCCAAGAGTGGTGTGGATGGTGAAGTAGTGGTGCCTTCTTGCATCTTCTTGGACATGCGTGTGACCATTGATGTTTAGATGTTTCTATTTTGCGGTTGACTTTCAACTTTTGCTTAATAGCCAGCACTTGTTGCCAAATTTGGATTAAATGATTGCGCCCAACGGTTACTACTGAGACTACATTACGACGACTGCTACTGCTACTGCTACCACCATTCCTATTCCTACGACTACTCCTACAACTACTACTACCACTACGACGACGACAAGTACTACTACTGCTACTACTGCTACTACTATTACTTCTACTACTTCTACTTCTACTACTACTACTGCTACTACTACTACCACTACCACTACCACTACCACTACCACTACCACCACTACCACCACCACTACTACTACCACCTACCTACTACCTACTACCTACTACCTACCACTACCTGCTGAAAATACGACTAGCTACTATTATCTACTACTACCTAATACTACCTACTACCCTCTACTAACTACTAGCTACTAACAACTAACAATTACCAACTACTAACTACTACTACCTACTACCAACTACTACTAACTACCACTAACTGCTATTAACCACTACTAACTACGAACTACTACAACTGGTGTCCCATGTTCAGTGACCTGTAGCGCCTCACACCGGTCTGTACCTCGCCCCCTTTCCCGCTGACCTGGTTTCGCTCAGGAAGCGCAGCAAAAACGAGGGACCCGGGTAATAAACAACTCTGTGAAATTTCTAACACCGTCTCTTTGCATCGTCTGCCCATACCGCCCATACTCATATCATTTGAGTTCGCAATATCAGATATGCTCTTGCTTGCTTCTTGGTGTTCAAATGCTCACCGGTGTTTCTTGAATGCTCACCAGGCCACCTGCCCTTCACTTGCGACGCCCTCCACGCCCCGAACCGGGGCGGAGGCGAACAAACGCTTCCCCGGCGCCTGGAGCGCCTGCATCTCGGCACGTGGGATGTCGGTGAAGGCCACCGGCTGCGTCTTTATCTGCGAACGCGGCACGTCTCTAACTTCGATTAGGAATCCAAAAAGCCCCCCCGGGGGGGTGTAAGACTGTCCATGTGTAAATCGTTGCAACCATTTCCAAGGTCCGTTCGCACCGGATGTTGTCTGCATGGTGTAGATGTGGTTGTCTCCCTTTGTTTGAGCCAACGTGTTTGTCAACATCATCTTCCTGCTTTACGGCCTCTGACGTGCTCTTCAAGCACCTGCAACCATCAATCTAGGATATCCAAATCCAGTTGATTGACAAAGTCCTGCGCCACTTTGTCTTGTCTCCTCTTGCCCTCGTGTTCCCTCTTTGACATTGGGCCGACTCTGGTGCGAAAAGAAAAGAATTGACAGTCCGAAATCCTACACCACCACGTCCTATTGCCAACATTGAATCTGGGGGCACGATGGGGCACGGGGATTGCTACATAACCTTTGTCAGGTGTATTGGTGAGCTGGTGCAGGACTTCGTCCATCAACGCTACCCGAAACAGGGTCATTCCATGCAGTGTTGAGCTCAAAAAACTGTTTGGACTGGAAGAGATGTGGCGCAAGACCATCTGCGCAAAGCACACGGGGCAGTCTGCGATATGACCGTCTGCAGGCTACATGGGGCGGGTGAATCGGTATACCACCTGGTTCAACAGGCAGGACATTTGGGCAGAAAGGCTACAGGGAGACGGGCAGAAGATCTCACTTGGAAGTGGCTAAGGGAGGAAGTGGCTAAGGGAGGAAGAGTGGCTTGGGAGTGGCAATATGTATACAAATCTGTGCTGTTTGCGTCTCATGCATGCGTTCATGCACTCTTTTGGCCGCGTCAATGCAGACCCAGCAGCTAATTCCGGGTCACTTTCCACCCTCTTCAAAGAAGTCGCCCTTGGCAGCTAGGACGCACTTGCACCATTCTTGCCCGAATGAAAGCTCGCCGCGGTCGAGGTGCACATTGGGACCGGGTCTCCCATTCGCTTGTGGACATGGCACTCAAAACCGGGCTGCGACGAGGGATCTCTAAGACACGCACCTTGGAGGCTGCTTTGGCAGCAGTGCCAGGGACTTGAAACCGCTGGGGTCGTTGTCTGCAAGGCCATGGCGCAGCCCCGCCGTTCCAACGGCTGTTGGGCACAGCGACATCAAGGTGTTGTGATGACCTACCCTGCGCGCATGCAAAGCTCTACTGATGCATCTCTCTGATGCTTGCAGTCATGAGGGCATGGTCTGAACCGCCAAGCATGGGGCACGCGCGCCCTCTCTGCAAGGGGTTTTGTTTTGACTTGCTGGGCGCTTGTTGGAAGGTTGAGAAGAGCATGGTTCACCTAGACCGCAGTAGGGGGCCTATCTTTCCTTCCTTCCCTTCCCTTCCCTTCCCTTCCCTTCCCTTCCCTTCAGACTCCAAAGAGGTGTCGACTGCCCTCCGCCATGTTCACATTGTGGAGGTCAATGGTCGTGTTGAGGGACCATGTGAGCGGACGTGCACAAAGCCCATCTCACGATCAAGGCACCACTGCCGTTGAGTCCCAAACTCTTAATTGTTGAGATGCAATGTTGTTCCTTGGTGCACTTGCAACCGACTTGCTTGCCAGCTTTTGGCCAAAGGAGAGCAGGTTGAGCTTCTTGGTGGTGTTGGACTGCAAAACGCGCTGTTGCGAGAAGTGATACGTGAAATTCAGCAATCCCTTTGACGGCATTGTCATGAGGAACAGTTGAAACAAGGGCATCAGCATTGTAGGGGGAACGTCTTGACTAACAGTCATCACCAGTTGAGAGGCGTGTCAACGGTTCATCTGACAAGACCATCCAGAAAGCGAGCTCGTTGTTCATTTTAAGCTCTACAGAATATATATACTCTTCTGGGCCCAATTCGCTGGTTGGCTTCCTCACTCTGCCGTTGTTGGACACTCTTTTTGGTCCAGATGATTCTTTGGGATCTTCATGAGTCACAATGTCCTTCCGACCATTGCCGAAGATCTCCAGAGCCACTGTTGTTGTTCAGATATGGCCGGAAATTGGCGCTGGTGTTACGTACCAACTTTCAACAAAATGTCGGCAAAGGCATTACTCAAATCAAGCCTCTTGCATCTCGAATGCAACCCTTGCAAAACTGTCATGCTGTCTTGGACAATCATGTTGAGTTGCACTTATTCCCGATCGTGTTGTGTGCGACACGTGGGCAAGAAACTGAAAGACCATGAAGGACTTGCTGGAACCGTCCATCTTGTAACAAACTGTTGCATGCATGGCCACGCAGCAGTGTGTTTGTGCGTGTGTGGGTGTGCTCACGCATGCTGTACACGGTGCTTGCATGCACGATGTGGTGAAACTGCTTTCTGACGCTGATGCGTTCAGTGCTGGCCAAGTATCGGCGTGCATTGCACAGGTGCCGTGCGAGTGTTGCTGCTGACATGTACTTGGTGAGAATATCGTCGATGTTGTTGCGAGCGCCGATCGCCAAGATCACCAGGACTTCTTGGTGAACTTGTTGATACTAGTTGGAAGGGTGAACAGTGAACAGGTGTTTGAGGTCGATGTGTTTTGCTTTCTGCTAGCTCCGGCCCTTGTCGCTAAATGCTTTTGCCACTGCTGTCTGTGCAAACCCTCATGTTGAGCTTGCTGCTATAGCCTGACTCCAGGACGAAGTTCTTGGCATGAAGCCCTTCTGCTGCTCAGTCTTGATGGCATAGAGTCACAGAGTTCTGACTCTGCTGATGACAATGCTACTGTTGCTTGTGTGCGGCTGCCCAAATATTCCAACTTAAATTGTTAACCCAAGGAGTCGGATCACAAAGCCTGTGGTTGATCTTCTTGTTGTTGGACACCCTGCCCAGTCGGCATCCACAAGATGCCCAGGTCCATTGTTACATCATTGTCGTGAAGTCTGATCATTGGCTTGATCACAAGTTTGTAGCACTGCGTTCCTTTATGTGCCTTCAGGTACAGGTAGCGAAGAAAAGTCGGCGTTGGACCCTTCAACACGTTGGGGCCCGAGGATTCATGAAGATTCTCTAGCCCGGCCCATGATGCAATGCTTTCGGTGTTTCCGAGATCACTCAGATCATGTGAGGGGCCCAAAAAGAGGTCTCATGTGAATGTAGCCTGAAATCTTTTCGCAACAAAATCTGTAGACCAACTAAACTGATTTTTCTGCTCTGTTCTGCTCCCTCAGACCCTCCCCCGCCGCGACCTCAGAGCTGCTCGACCGAGCGGTCGCCCCGCGGGGCAACGGGGCCGCGCTCCGCGTCACGACACCATGGGCGGCAGGCAGTTTATTTAGGTGAAAAGCAAGACTCAAAGAACTTCATTCAACCAAAAGTGGATTCTCACAAAGGAATCAGCACACACGCTTTCTGGCCGAGAGCCATGCTCTCGAAAAATCTGAACAAGCATAGGTCGACCCGGAAACCCAGACGAAACTTCACACCCAAAAGTCTCATCTTGCTGGACATTACCTGTGTCTCGCCAGTCTGGTTCTGCTTTTTCTGTTCACCTCACCTCCTTTGTGCCCAGACACCCAGACCATCCTTTCACCTGTGTTCGTCCATGACACCTTCACCATCTTCGCGCCTCCAAGTCGTGCAGGATCAGGGTGGCCCGGTCGATCTCGGCAGAATCCAGATCGACCTGCCGGATTGCGGTGCCGTCGGAGCAACGCCACCGGTGGAAGACCCGGATGACTGGCCAGATCACGACGTGAGCAGCGCGAAATCGCCATTGGTTGAAAGAGTCATAATTGGGTGAGACTGGGTGCGTTTCGAAGGTAACGCCCGAAGGTACAGGGGTCCACATAGATTCAGGCTTCCTGCTTTGGGGTGGTGTTCAAGCTGGTAAACTTGAAGAACGAAACCGGCTAATGCAAAAGAGATGGCCATCCAGCAAGGAGAAGCTTCAGTGCAGCCTAAACGTTGGTGTCGATATGTTTCGATGATCGTGGTGGTGTCGGCATACTTAGAAGAAGAATGTCGTGGTGGGTGGAAAATATGTAAACATACTGCAAATGATAGAAACTGTTTTTCAAAACAACACGGCTGGTAGCAGTAGCATGGACTACATGCTGAAACCATCACAAACGGTTGTGAAGCAAACCGTTGTTTTCCTGCCCTGTTGCCAAATTTGTTCACTTTCCATCTTAGATGTCACTTAGAGTGCCCACCGTGCTTCTCTCCATTCGCACGCCACCTCGCGGGCTTTCTCGATGGCCACACGTAAGGGCTCCACATCCTCACAGCTTCGCGCCACCATGGCCGCCTTGCTGCGGGCATGCTGCCAGTCCAAAGAAAATGGCCACCGTGGCAGCTGTTGGAATCCAAAGATGTGATTAACACATCCTGTGGCATCACTTTGGGAAAGTTTGAGTGACCAACTTCGAAGTAGAGTGGGAGTGGGCCTCCATTTAAGGACTGAAAGTAGACTGGGCACCTACTAAAGTTGCCTATTGAAAAGGTATGTTGTGTGTCGTCAACATGGTTCAACATGATTGTTTGCGTTCAAAACCAAGATGATCCAAGGTACAAGATGACTTTCAAGCAGCATCCTTAGACGTGAGGCCATGGAAATTTTGACCCCTGCTGAGTGGGGAAGAAGTCTGTCTCCCACCGGGAGTCACAGTGCTCTGTTTATAGCCAGGATTGTACCCTTCCTAACACCAACACTCATTCCCGTGTTGGCATTTGTTTTCCAGCCCCTCAAGCATCATAGAGACCTCATACAGACCTTCCGGTCGGACCCACAAAAAGGGACACGTCTCCGTTTGTTTTTTTGCGCGCGCCTTGAGCTCCCGCATCTTCTTCTCTTTCAACGAGAGCACCGGAATCTGGCCAGTGGCCCGTGGGCCATGGAAGCATTCTGCTTGGGGCAAACATCCAGGATGGTCAGAACATGTCACTATAGGTGCAAAGCAGTGTCCTTGACCAGCTTTGGAGTGACTTTATAGAGCTCCAACTTGGTTTAGATTGTGTTGATGAGACACCCTCATTGTGTTGATGAGAGCCTTTGGGGTCGATGTGTGAGATTCACAAGACTTCTGTTATGGTACAAGAATCAAGACTCTGAGAGCCACAGATTCGTTTCAATGTGTCCTTTTACTAGAGCAATCGGGGAGGCGGTCCTCATCTTTTTGTCTAAGCCAAGGTCCAGCTCTGAATTGTCTTGTTGAAATTCCTTGCCTGTTTGGATACTACATGCTACTACTCAAGACCCAGGCAGAAGGATAACGAATGCAACAGCCAAGATCTAGTCATTGAGGATCCCGTTGCTGATCAACAGTGCCTGTATCACACGCAAATGGTCATATTGATCATTGTCAAGCTAGGACCTGTGACTTGTGACAACACATAGGCGGTGCCTGAAACCACCTGTTAAAAAGGCTGTTAGGATCCCGAAAACCATCCGTTGGAGGGTCGTGCCAGATAAATGTGGGCCAAACATGTGTCAGCCACAACCAGCCAAATGAAGCAGGCGAAGGGACCATTTCTGCAGCCTCTGCCATGGCGCCCGAGCAGAAGCTGTGCCAATTTGATGGTGCTATGACTGGGATGGCCCAGATCCCTCAAAAATTGCTTGGCTGGAACTGGTAGGAGACAGTTTCGCGTACAACTCCAGGAAAACAAGGAACAACTCATCCACTGAAAATGGTTCAATCTCCCACATTCTCCCACAAAGTTACCTGAAAGCGCTCATTTGACCCCGCTCCAGAAAATTTGTTGTCTGTGTGTGTGTTGCAAACAAGCAAATATTCAGAGATTCCTCCGGGGTTGAAGACAGTAAGCATGTTTTGAGGTGCGTTCTCAGGGATTCTGAGGGGCCAATTTCGACAATGATCATCCACCTTCGATCTCAAGTCTTTCTTGCAGGCAAGCGAAGAACCTGTTGTGGCATTGAAGTCGAGCATGGAGGATGCATGCCCAAACGTGCTGTGCAGGGTTCTGCAGTGAAGAACACGGGATCAAAGCTTTGACACATCAAATACTAACCTTGCTGCTCTGAGCCTACCAGCCGCGGTGGAAGGATTTTGGTGGAGAGCTTCGGATTCATGCCCACTATAGGGTCTAATTTGATGATATTTGTTGGAGGGCTTTAAATTAAGAACCGCATATGTCGTGTGGAAAGAAACACACCCAGCCACCCAGCCATCACCCAGTGCCACCCAGATCCCTTTTCATGGGACTCCAACTCGTAACGTCGTAAAGACCCCGGAACGATTGATGATGCTTGACTTTGCAGAGGTCAATGGCTTTCCATTTGATTCCATGATCCTCGGATCCTCCAGCACCCAAGGCGGATCCTGAGAGTCCAAAGCTGTTTTTTCCGGTAGAGTGATGAGGTACGTCGAAGCAAAACCATCAGCGAACCATCACCTAATTCATGTTGAGACCAAAGAAAACCCCACAAAAACCCCCAAAGACCCAAACATTCACCTGCCCACCAGGAACTCCTTGCTTTTTCCTCTAGTCTGCAGAGATCTCCAGAGTTGCTCCTTTTTGCTGGATAATCTTTTTCCAGCCAGGCGCCAGGCGCCATGCTCCGCCTAAACAGAGAGGTCCAAACGTCGGAAGCAGCAAAGGTCAAGAGAGACTGTCTGGCGACTTGTAGGAGAACATTTAAGCATGTTACAGCTCCGGGGAATTGATTGTTCCATGAAAGTGTCAAACAACTTTCCTTCTAAGCTGTCCGTAACAGCATTGCGCACAGGTTGGGACAGTGGATAGAGAGGGTCACTGAAGAAGACCTTCTACAGCAGTGACGAAATGGTTGCGTTTTGGACATGGTTCAATATTCTGGATGTGCGTGCAAAAATTCTTAAGGAGATCCCCAAATAGATAGATTCCGCCGCCACATTCTTTAGAAGCCAGGGATCGTTGAAAACATGAGAAAGTTCCAAAACCTCTTGTGGTTCTGCTATGCCAATCGTTCACCATGTCGCCCTTCTTCAAGGCCCTGGGCCCCCCATCGCCTCGGCGTTGGCAGCGGTAACTCTTCGCTTAGCTCTCCTGGCCCGCTCAGCCGACCCGGTGGATCTGCACGAGCTCGGCTCGTGCTGTGTGTGAAATGTGATGCAAAGGTGGGCTGTTCAGGTCTACAAAGTACTGCCAGTGGGACGGGAGTGTTGGCTACAAAGAAATCAATGAAGCAGTGGCTGTATCATTGCTGTCTCCTCTTGGCAGAGCTCTTCAATCTCTTCGAATAGCTTCTCCAGCCACTCCTGCCTCTCAGTGATGAGTAAACCACCTGGCATGGAGCGGAAGGATCCCAGCAAAATGGTCCCTTTGCAATCCATTCGCAAAATGTTGTTCCAACTTCCTCTTCATCTTGATGGCTCTTTAAGTCGTTCAACGATTCCGAGTTCCACTTCCCACCGGTGGAATGAAACCCACCCCAGAGGATCCATGGTGGCAGTAGATATGACCTACATTCACCACCCAACAGACCCAGTCATGTAGACGATCTTTGCCCCATGGATCGTCTGGGCGCCGAATGGAGCTCGGTCCACTCGCCGAAAACCTCTAGTCTCGCCGGGCCGGTCTGGTCCGGTCTTGGTCATTCTGTCGGTCTGAGAGGTCCGGACTCCCGAGCTTGGTATATAAGACCTTCTTGGATTTCACATCCACCACCTCAAAGGCATTGATACCTCGGGTCGAGTCGGTCGAGTCGGTCTCTTTTCCGGATGGAGACCAAACAGACAGCGATTGCCGCAAGCGATTGCCGATGGGATGGTCGAAACGGACGCGACGGGGCTGTGGATCAAGCATCTTGCCTGAGACCAAGAGAAACAGTCAGATAGGGGGTTGTCATGCGAAAGCCTGCCCTCATCAGCCTCAAAGGGGTCAAACGCTTGACTAGCCTGAAATGCCTTGGGTTGGTCTGCGATGCGGCTCAAAAGGTCCAGTGCTTTACGCGTCACGTGCTGTGCAGTGTCCTGCTCCCACCAGTCAAGGAACGGCTCTTGGGTTGTCGAATCAGTTCTTGTAGGGTGTCCTGAGCACGTGCAAGGACTCTGAAGAGTTTTGGGAGTGGACCTTCAGAATCTTGAGTGGCCACTCAAAAATATTTCTCGGAAGCGTTTATTGCGAAGTGGCCCATAACATAAGAGAGATGCTTCTGTTCGTGTACAGTCTCAAGCGGCAAATCCCGGGATTCCGAGATTCCTGCGAAGCAGCCAACAAGAATAATGTTTCTCCGAAAGTCTGGCACAAATCAATGGTTTGTTCCCAACCAGCACCCAACGAGCCCCAACATCCCTTTTGCCCAAAAGAATGAACACTGTTCCAACTCAAACCTTGCTTAGATAAGGACTTATACGATCTTATACGTATAGTCCATCTACTACTTCCCTTTGAACCCCCTCAACGGCCCAACGCCCCCCGAACCGCCAGCCCCTCGCCGCCCGTTCCTCGTGGTTCGCGAAGCACAGCACCCGCTCGCCGAAGCGCTCCGCCAACGCCTCGATCGCTCCGTTCGTCGCAATGCCCGTCCAGGCGCCCCGCTCGTAGCGTCGTAAGGCCAGGAGCTACTTACCCGGAGGATGGTTAGCTTTGACTTATAACCTACGGTAGGTTATAAGTACACCTAACCTAGTTATAACCTAGGTTACAAGTCTGCTAACCTCTATAAAGGTTAGCTTCGACCTAGCTTTGATTTAAATAATAGTATAGTATTTACTAAGTACTTAGGTGTGAGTTAGCTAAGTCAAAGCTAAGTCAGCTAAGCGTGACTTGGACTTAGCTTTGACGTATAAGTATGTTACAAGTCAAAGCCAAGTCCAAGCTAAGTCCAAGCGAACTTTTGAATATGTTTGATTGACGCTAATGTGTTTCCTACATGCGGTTTTAAAATAACTCGTCAATACAAAATACACATACAAATAATTGTACATTTAAAAGTTCCAACGATTTAGAAATTTAGAATAACTTAAATTAACTATTTTCACACATCAACTTGCTTTGACCTGTACAGCTGTAAACATATATATATATTAAACTCAATAATGAAAATCATTGATCACAAAACAATCCAAACACAATCAAACAAGTTTCACAAATCAGGTAAATGTCAATGAGTATGTATAATAATAAACTATAAACATATTTTGTTATAGACCAGCTATGTATTGAGCTATTTAGATATAAAAATATACTTTGCAGCATAATATATAAACTTGATTACAAACTTTGATTTTAAGAACAACGTATATGTAGAAAAGAATACAGTATGTCATATGGTGATTGAAATATGTTCATGTTTAAATAAATTGTTTGACAAACTGTTTCACTTGTTATGATACAGCTTCTGACGGTAAGTAAATATAATATAGACATTGCCAAAAGGTTTATGACAACTGTTGGTAGTAAAAGTATAAAAATATCATGGAGGCTCTGTCATAATTCTTTATGACATATTATATGACATAGAGTAATGTCATACAGAAAACTGACATATTTTTTGACAGCTTTTACTTGAGAAAGAAAATGTAATAGAAATTCTGTCATAATTATTTATGACAGATTATATGACATAAAGTAAATGTCATACAGAAAACTGTCATATTTTTCTGTCAGCTTTGAGTAAAGAAAGTAAATGTCATAGAGATTCTGTCATATTTTGTATGACAGAATATATGACATAAAGTACATGTCATAGATAAAACTGTCATAATTTGTATGACAACCTTTAGTAGAGAAAGAAGATATCATAGAAACTCCGTCATAATTATTATGACATGTTTTATGACGTCAAATAACCATCAAACATAAACGGTCATAATGTGAATGACAACTTTAGTAAATTAATTGAAATAAATTATATGTTAACGTTTTCTATTTTTACAAATAGAGTAAATACTATTCAATATATATATAACTTATACAATTGTTTACGGCATAGCCGTTTTTTGTGAATTGTTTGTGTTCGGCTTGGTTAAATATGAGTTGTTCTATTTTCTGCAGGATTTGGCAGCCGAGCATCACTCCTTGGTGAGCTTCGTTTTTTAGATTCGAAGCCATGGGAAAGGGGTTTACTTGGTGGTTGGGTTTTACTGGTGGCACTTGCAACTTAGTTAAGACACTTGTAGGACTCAAGCAATTTGTAAGTAGTACTTAGGGAACTTAGGTGCTTTTTAGGTTGTATCAGAGTTGCCAACCCCACCACCTCATGATTTTGGACATGTCCTGACTCCCTGAATTTTTTAAAAATCCAGGAGTCAGGATTAAGTTTTGCTGATTGCGTGACATAATGCTTTTTGTTTGCTGTGTGTGCTATGCCGCAATTTTTTAAAGTCAAAAAAATGTGATGAAAAATTGAAAACATAAACAATAAAAATGAATAATACAAAAATAACAAAAAGTTAGCTTTGACTTAACTCAGACTTAGCTTTGTCAAACTTAAGTCAAAGCTAAGTCCAAGCTAAGTCAACGCTAAGTCTGCCTCAGCTAAGTCGAAGCTAAGTACTTATCAGATCCTATAAGTACTTATAACTCGAACTTAGACTTAGCCCAGCTTAGGAACCACACTCCGGGTAAGTAGCATACAGTAGTGGCTTCTAGGACTCCGCCCATGTGCGGACTTCCAAGGGCCGGCCTTGCGAAACTTGAGGTACTCCGGAAGGAACTTGCAGAACATACCTGAGGCGTAGCTCTCTTTGCCATTGCACACATGGTCTAGAAGTGTCTAGAAGTGTCTGCATCTGGCATCAATAATTGACTGAGTCAAACACAGTACTCCACATGAACGACTCGTCCACCAGGGGGAGCCTCAGCACGAGTCAAATAGGGAAAGTGCACGGATTCAGATTGGAACTTGACAAAAACAATGGAATCGATCTGGCAATGTGCGTCTTTCACCAACTTGCCTGACTCAAGCATGGAAGGTGCCACCCCCATTCCCCCCTCCGCCAAGTAGACTAGACACCGACCAGGAAAGCCCCAAAAGCAAACCAACCAAAATGCAGTCCATACGGCTCTTGTTTGTTCCTGTGTTTTCGTTCGCACCGCCGTGAAGAACGACGCGCGCCCGCTCACGGGGTTCGCCTCTGGGAGCTGGTCGTCCTCCACGGCCCGGCGTGGGAGTTGCGCGAGTCGCTGCGCGACCGGGCTGCGAATGGTGGGGCCTGCGCCTGGTGCTGGAAGAAAGAGAGCACCATGGTCGTTGGTGTTTCGGGTGATCTATGGTGATCGTTGGTGTTTCTTTCCGAGATCTGCTGGAATGGCGATGAGAACCTGTTAGGATGGTCGAAATGAAGGTGCTCTTTGTCGCTGTTGAGACATGCCAATGCTCCTGCTTTGCATTATTTAGCACACAGTTGCTGCTGTACACTCATAATGATGACGAATTACGATCAAATGGATCATCATGGATCATCCCTCCTAAGGGTTGAGAACCGTCTTCAAGGATCCTGATCGATATTTCTCGATCTTAACCCCGCTTTTGTCGGTTTGCTATGAGTTGAACCATGTCGAACCAGGCTCCAACCCAATAGCGATGGCCTCCAACCTAGTAGCGATGGCCTCCCGATTGCCTCCACCCTAGTAGCGATGGCCTCCAACCTAATAACGATGGCCTCCTGGCCTCCAACCTAGTACCGATGGCCTCCTGGCCTCCAACCTAATAGCGATGGCCTCCACCCTAGTAGTGATGGCCTCCAACTTATGACCTGGAAGAAGCAACCTTGAAAATCCCAAGCTCCTTCAGAGCTCTCCGCTTAGCTTCCCAGCTGATCCAGCTTGGGCCCATGAGAACCTTGGCGGTGCAAAAACAATGGCCAGAATGGGTGAGGGAATGAGTGAAAATGAGGCTCAGAAGACTGCCCGGAGGTTAGCTTTGATCCACAAAAGAAAGCATGAGGACAATGTGGTGATGATATTTTTCTTAGAGAAATCCAGGAGTCATGGGCCATGACAATGGTATCAATCAAAGAAGAGGATAGTGTTGTAATGCACATCTGTAGGTGAGTGGGCCTTCTCTTATTATATTAATGCTATATCTACTTCAGCGCTTGGTTTGGCCCCAGCCCCTTTATCAAAGACCCACGCACAAGTGACACAGCCTGCACATTCTTTGCCTACAAGTTGGTCTTCCAGCCATCCCTTGTTGGTCTTTGAGTCTTCCAGTCATCTGTAGTACCTGTGCAGCTCAGCTCCGCACCACACACAGACCCAGGAGCGCCCATGGTGCCCAAGTGGGCTTCCGATGCAATGCCATTCGCGCGAAGAAAGGCAACACGGCAACGGCTGTTTGGATGACTCCCAACATCTCACCATGGCAATGGGTCTGTTCGTGGAAGAAACGCTGGAATCCATCAAGTTCTGCTTGCAATACTTGATCGCGGGTGGTTTTTGAGGACAATTGCCCTTATGGTCCGAGGACTGCAACTGCTGAGCTTTCTCTTGTTTGCTGAGCTTTCGCTACCAGTATGATCTGAGCTTAATCAGGAAAGTCAGAAGGTGATCATCGCGTTTTTTCTTGTTTTCTGTGTTGTCTCACCTGGAGCTGGCCTTTCTATATAGTGTCACATCACATTGTTTGGCAGATACTCCTTGAGTCTGTGTCCGTCAAGTCTGAGCAGGACAGTTCCACCGACAGCAACATGTGCAGTTTGTGCTTTGACTGTCGCCAGTCCTACCTCGAGCTGGGAAGACGTTCAGAGCGTGCTGCTTGCTCCAGAAGGCTGGACATGTATACTAGGAACAAGAAGCTACTAGGGGCTCCTGGCATCGCTACTAGGAGCAAGGACGCTACTAGGGGCTCCTGGCCTTACTACGAGTAACAAGAAGCTATTAGGTTGGAATTACTCTACCCCCCTTCAAACTGACGACTGGAATTTCCGCAAGATCGCCAGTCCGTGAGATGTTGAGAGTCCATCGTTGGCAGTCAGAACCAGCACCAATCTGCGAACTCTTTCCGTGCTGTCAATATTGTGGTCTGAGTCTGCCAGCTTTTCTGTCAGACTTGACTTCACTTCTTCCAGAAGCTTGCGTAGCCTTCGAATCTTCTTCAGAAACAAGTCCCTCAAAGGCCCGTTCCGTGCCTTCCCAAAACGTTAAGTTGACGCAAATGATCCAACAAACGGCATCTTTCAAACGGATCGCTGTTCTTTGGTGACTTTCCGATCCAAGAAAACCATCTGCAGCTGCTCATCGACTAGCACAGACTCGAAGGCTCTCCCGATGTCCCATGCATATGTACACATGAATCTTGAAGAGGCCCAATCTCTAGAAATGTATGCCGGTAGATCTTTAAACACAAGAGCATAAGCCTATAGAAAGCTTAAACAGTACTTTCTGTATATCTTATAAATACTACTCGGTACCCTGACGGGTCTTGGGCTGCGTTTCCCTCGTCAGGAAGAATCAGTTGACTCCTATTGTGCAACGAACTAGGTTTAACCATTGTGTGCCATATATAATGAGCCAAGGAAGCGTGTTCAGTAGAACAGCATAGAACAGCAACGAATCAAGTGACAAGCTGCTCAACCCTTCTGGCAAAAGGACCCCCTTCTCATCTTCACAGGTTCTCATCTCACAGGTTCCAGAATGAACAAACTAACTATCTGAATGACCCCCCCGTCTGTCCATCCGGCGAGCTATGGCCAGCTGGGTAGTTGGTCTCACTGAGCCTCACTCCCGTGTTGGAGTGCTGTAAAGTTGTAGACCATTGTGGGCTCGCCCCTGAGAATCGGGGCATGACAGCGGTGCGGTGCGAAGGACACAGCGGTGCAGCGGATCGACCTCTCTGAATGGTCGAGCCAGAGGCTAAAAAGCTTGGATCCTCCCTGTTGCCAGCCCTTTTCTTCATGTTTGATTCTCTTCTTCTTCTTCTTCTTCTTCTTCTTCTTCTTCTTAAACGGTCCAATCCTGAATCCTGACCCTCGGCCATTAGTGTTTGCAATCGTTGGAGCTCAAAGGCTTTGTAGTGCGTAGGTAAGCCGTTCAACTCGTGGAAGAAAGGGAACATCAAGCAACTAAATATTGGTCAACGTACCTTCTAGGAACATACCAAGCAAAACGAACGAATTGCTTGCTGCCAATGCATCCACACCAACCAAATCCTGAAGTAATCCAAAGAATGGTGACAAACAAAGTAGTCACGAACCAGAGTCGACTTGCCAGGTTCGCCCTTCTTCTGCCTTTGCCCAAAAAGATCGATCGCTCCTCTCGACTGTGCGTCACACGCGCCGTCGGTGGCCTTGCAAGATCGATCATTCCATCCTTCTGACCACCTCAGCAGTCCAAGTCGCTGCTTCAAAGGAGAGAATCGGCTGCGGAACGGTTGGCGGAGAGAGAATCACCCAATGAAACATCGAATTCCAAGGTATAAAATAAGATAAAGACTGGTCGGATCCATGTTTGCCATGACTGGATTCTACCTCTGAAGCATCCTCTGAAGCATCCGAACAGTACTCTAGGAATCGTTGGTGAATTTGAAGCCTGCAACCCATCCACTTTGGGCATGTCCAGCCAGCTCCGACATGAAAAACAACATAACACCATGAACATACACCATGAAGCTCTCGGTCCCTCGATCTCAGCTGAACATCGACTTTCCCGCCTGTCCCGCCTACACCGGCGTGGAGTTTCCGTTGCGCCATCTGGGCTTTCCAGCGGAAACTCGGTCTGCAGCTCTCACGTCTCCATTGCAGTTGCCTACGACGTTCACAATCCAAGGTCTCCACCTGCCGCGATGGACGATGGACGAGGCGTTGGACATGGCCTGTACTAAGACATGGGGTGTGTGCCTGGATCTTTATCAGGGCCTGACCCTATAGTTGAGCCAGATCATGTTAAATTCAGGATCTGAGTCTAAAATATACCAAGAAACCAAAATGAACCCTCAGCGTTGGGGATGGATACAATTCAGAGGTCTGACATCAAAATCATCAGAAAGGTATGACATGTCTAGCAGAAAGCTTCAAATACATTTAGTCGCCGAGGTCTGGTGGCGTCAGAAACTTGAGATGTTTCTTGTTTCAGAATTCTCATATTCAGACCAGGGAGCATCATTTTCATACATGGACTCCCTTGTTAATCTTGTTAGGTATCCAGGCTGGCACCCAAATAAGGTCCAAATATGTCAAGATTTTATCCACTCAGTACGGCTTCCTGTATGTTGTTTACTGTCATGTTGGAGTTGGTGGTGGCGGTCATTTGGGTTCCGTTTTGATACGAACTGGAACTGTCTTTGGTCTCCGGGTACCTTGAGTGCCTTGATTTGGGGACCCTATAGCGTGGGTGAAAACGTCTCGGCCCCTACCATACCCATCACCCGTGACCATGCCCGCATGGCATCTTAGATATTTCTGATTGTCCCCTGACTGTCATCGCACATTGTATCTTCGAGACTATCTTGGGTGAAAACATGTCAGGCTTGTGTCATTGTTGTCATCATCAACCTGTGAACACTGGGAGCGTCGCAGAACCCACCAACTCGAGCATCTTCGAGTGACCATGGAATCATAGAGGCCAAAGACGTGCTCCTGTGGCGCGAACATAGAGATACTGAAAGGTCCGAAAAAAGAGTGGCCCCCGGTGCCAGGAAGTACCCACATGCTGCGTTTCATATTCCAAGCGGGATGATTCGAGGTTCTGCTGGAGATTTGGGGTATCTGCGTCTACGAAAAGGTTCTCAAGGTGAAATGGTGTGGCTTTTCATGGTGTTTCTGAAATATGTTGGTGGTATATGTTCCATGTTTGCAGAAGTTGAAGGTATGCTTGGTATTTCTTGGTCCCCTGGCTTTATGACAGAACTGACGCGATGGACACGTGCCTGCATATCCGTCCCTGTTTGGAAAGAAAACAAAGACATATACAAAGACCACACTGACTTGAAATGTGACCGCACAACACCCAAACCATCCCGTTTTGCCAATCAAAACAACTCCCAAACCACTTTGAGGACCAAGGGAGGCGCAAAACACAACCAACCCAAGTGCGAGGACGCCCAAAGGCGCGAGGACGTCGGAGTGTCCTTGAGGCGATAGATGCTCAGCAAAAGGGATCGCTTCACCGTTTGCTTCACTCCGCGTAGCGTCGACAGCCCTGGCGCAATGGATCCTTTTTCTGAAGGCAAGAATAAGTCATTGTTTGAGCCTTTTAAGGGTGACAACCCAAATGGGGAGTCTTGATGAATAAAACCTGTACAAGTAGAGAAGTTAAGTCACATCTTCATGTTTTAAGTCACATCTACGGCAAGCGGGTACGCTGCAAATTGCTTAAGGCAAACGCTCAAAAGATACGACTTGAAACAAGAAAATACAACTTAACTCAACAACGTACTAGAATGAAAAGGTTTGATTTATGATCGCCGGACCCAGGCTACAGTAACTCTGAGAATCTTGAATAAACAAATGAAAAGGCACAATGGTGTCCAATGTGTTCGGTGTATTTTGTGTTGTCGCTTCTTTTTGTTGGGGGGGTCCCTTTTATCCGCTTTTTGTTTCTCTGTTTTTGTTCACTTCTGTTTATTTGTTGTGTTTTTTTTGCTTGCCTTTTGTTGTTTCCTTTTTCTTGTCTTTTCTCTTTTTCTGCTTTTTCGTTTTCGCGCCTTTCGGGGGCCCTGTTTTTTTTTTTTTCGCTTGTGTGTTTGCTTTGTTTTGCTTGTTTTTTTCATTCGCGTTACTTTTTTGCTTTTTGGAGTTGGATTTGCTCTGTTGTTTTGACTTTGCTTTTGCTTTTGCTTTTTCGTTTGTTGTTTTTTATGGTTGTTTTTTCGTTGGCTCTTGCATTTTGTAGTTGCTTTTGTGTGCCTTTTGCTTTGCTGTTTTCTTATTTGGCAAACCCATCAGAGTTATGCAAAGTGGGTTTACATAAGGTTTGATCATCCAAATGGGAGGAGGTTGGTTTGATCAAGAGGTATCAAGAGATGTTCAGTGAGATGTTCAGTGCACCCCGAAAGATCTGGTCACTGGGCTGTCCAGCGACGTCCACCATGGTGTCCAGCCCAGTCACGGTCGCCGCTGTGGCGTGTCGACCCGTCGCCTCCGCGTAGAAGTGTGGCCAAAGCATCCATGGCTGGTGGCGCTTGTGGATGCACAGACCAAGTGGTGGGAAAACACGGACCAGCGGACCTCGTGGTGTCTTTTGTGACATCGTGCAAACACGTCGCGACCGCGCCACTTCCACCTTCTTTTCGGAGTATATGTTATTATAAGCAACTGGCCGGCATTCCCACCAGTCGCTGTCGGTGTGGCCAGGGATCCTTGGCACATTCTGCCTGTCCGCAACACTTCTTGCTCTGTCCTCGGGATGGGTCAACGGAAAAAATAGAGCCATGGCGCATGCCTTGTCCAGAAGTCGGAAATGAAGATTTGTCCAAAGCCATCTAGCTTGGGACATGACTCTACTTTTGGCCCTCCAAGACTCTAATCCAAAGTTTGGACCATGTACAAAATTGCAAGCACTATGTATCTATGTATGTATGCATGCATGCATGCAGGTAGGTAGGTAGGTAGTCCTTTAATATCCTTAGTGGCTTTGTTTGGGAAGGGTCACTTTCAGCCTGTATAGAAGATACTTGGCAAAAAAGAACTCGTATTTTTGTGCTGATGCAACAGGACAGGGCAGGTTCCAAAGAGTTCTGGACACGGAGACATTTAAAGCAACCTTTTTAGCAGCAGCTCAAGCTGTGGTTGCGAGACATTAAGCCGCTCCCTTGCCACTGCCTCACGCGGAATGAGAGAATGCTTTCTTAATTGAAGACCATGGAAACGACGAGATGCTCGGACACTCTCAACTAGGCTCTATGATGTCGGAACACCGCTTGTTTGCCTAGAAGTGATGAGATGAACGCATATCATCATCCCAAAATATTACGTTGATGCCAAAGGCCCATTTGACAAAGGTTAAAATACTCATAGAACTTGGGTTGCAAATTGGGTGGATGTAAGGGTGCTTGGTGGTTGGGAGTTGATCTATGGAGTTGAACACCATTGGAATCTGGGCGACGATTTCTTGTTGAACAACTGTAATGAGCTGGGAGGCCATGTTCACTACAGCATGATTGAACTGCCAGAATGGAAGACTCACCACACCAATTCTGGTAATCGACCCATGCTAAAGCACTCCCTGCTCATGGATGCAAAATCACACGTTGATTCCCCGGTCTCAGCCACAGGGCAAATCTCCAAATGTCAAGCTCAGTATGAAACAGCAGCCGCGCTGTTTAGAATCTACAGGAGGATCAACCCGGTATGAATGATTTTAAACTGCTTACACCAGCAAGACCTGAAAGAAGCCACCGTGATTCCAAGACCTGAGTGGGTTCATATCATTCCAGTTTCCGCCTTCCGCTACCAATGACCAGCTATACAGATTTTTTAATGACTCAGTTAGCAAACAACTTGGTGACCTGGATAGCAATCACTGTGACATTGCTATGTAACATAGCAATCACTTGGTCTAGTAATCCCCACATCTCCCCACACACCCGCCCACCTCAGGAGGCGGCGGCCTTCTTTGCCTCCTGACCAAACACGACAAACTCACGCCTTGAATTGGATGGAAGTGTAATACTCCTTCAATTCATTCCATTAAAACACCTTTCTGTCCTTGCATGTTCTTTCAATGCGCAAATGTAGTGGTGTAAACTTGTGGTTAGTCACGTTCTTCGTTCCTTCCTGTCAGGGATTGGCATCAGGATCCTTACTGGATCTTTACTCCTCAATGCTTCTTCCTCTTTGACTTCGTTCCCTCCTTCGTTAAATGTATTAATCTTTATATCTGTCGTTTTAGCTTGCTTTTGACGCCAAACACACCGATTCTAATCCCCAACATTCTTGGCCCCAATGTCCTGCAAGCAAAAATAAGTTGGGTTGAGATGCCAGAATTCTACACTGTGGGCTACACGGAATGTCTGACCTTTGGCCTCTGTCTGTCCTTCGGCTTGACAATGAGCTCCCGTCCGTCTCCTTGCTGGGTCCTCAAACACAGCAAACATTGAGACGCCTGATGGTTTTGACCCTAGAATTTTGGTCTATGAGTTACAGTAAGGTCTGTTGCAGAAAGGAAGTAGGGACTGTTGAGAAGCATGACCGTGCAAGAAGATGATGAATGTGCAAAATTCATATTCCTTCCCTGCTACTTTACTACCTCTCCTGTACAAGACTCCGCTGGTCTGATATATGCCTGTCTCAACTAGTTGGGTATTCCTTCCTTGGCTCGTCTTCGGGCGCTCCAGCCCGACTGAAATGTCGCTGTCAGGCACATTCAACCCTTCAAAAGGATTCGCCTTGCCAACAACTTTTGAGACGCGTGTGGTCACAGAGTCACAATCATGTCACATCTTGATAAAACTATTTGACTAATGTAAGTACAATATCTAAATTTCAACATTACACTCTTGGCAAACCTGTCGTCGGATTGATGTTTATCATTTATCACCCCATTCCCATCCATTCCTATCAATCATTATCCACCCCAAACCGGTTCTTCGTGCGGCTTCTTTTCTGGTCCAGTACCAGGTCTCCCCGCCCATTCAGGAGGTCGGAGGCTGCTTGCACCGACATTGGATCCATATAGTTCACAAACCTCGGCAGTTTGCTCTACTTGCCTCTCACCGGCAATGGCCAAAGTTTAGCTTGAACTTGTCTTTGACTGGTCAGCTAGGAGAAGAATAGACTAATTATACTGTATCTTGACAAATGCTTGTGCAAGCACAAACCCAGCTGCCGGTGAATGAATAGAGCTAAAATAATTCATAAACTAAGAGCCAAGAGCCTTCTTTCTTGGTGTGCATCACCCAAATGATCCCTTCCAGTCAGTTTCACACCTAGTGAACACACCACCCTTGGACAAACACCGTCGTTGTTGTTTCGATGTTCTTGACTCGGAATCCCTGGGCATCCCTTGGCCGCCCCCGACCGAATCTCAGGCCGCCCGGCCCCCAACCCTGACACGAGCCATCCGGATGGAGCATCGCTCGGACACCCTGGGCGGATGGAGCATCGCTCTGGAGTGACTTCGACCCGACGAAGGACCGGTCTTGACGGGGCGATCGGTCATGGTTTGGTCGATCGACTGAGAGATCCGGATGAACTGGGTCAGTCGACGGAGATGGTATATGTCGGCCATGGTCCAAGTGAACACCTTCGCCACCTGAAGGCGATATTCGAGGATCTCAATTCCGATGCACGTGTATTGGTCAAATCCGTGCATCGGTGTCTTCTCAATGTCTGAGAAAAAGCCACTTGGGTCACTTTTGCCGCCCAAGGGCGGCCTTGGGTGCAATTGCTCCGAAAGGAGCAAACATCTTGTAGAGGTCGACATCCTGCGCACGGCATGGGCCACAACATCAAGAATCTGCCTCTCCCAATTAAGAAACCAACTTGAGCGTTGGCACAATATTTTACTACAACAGCTTGGGGCTTGGCTGGCTTTTAGAAGCAGGGCCCCACAGTCCAGTGATGCTACCAGGAAAACTTCCCATCATTCAAAGGTCGTGCAGGAGAACATATTGAGCAAAAGGTTCCAGCATCTACAGTAGGGTGCCCCTACTTGCCACAGTCGTACTTGTGCCAACCACAACATGCTCTTCAAAAAAGCAGAAGCTAAAGATTGCTGCCAGGTGCAACATTCAAATAGGTTTCAATGATTCCACCCAGCAGTTGGTCCAAAGGCCCATTATTTAGACAGACCAAGAACATGTGTCTGGAAGTTGACTTTCCATTGTCAAGTGGGGCGCCCTGTTAAACGTTGGGTGCTTTTAGTTGTCGTCACGAGGACGCTTCACGTCGCCCCTCGCGGCAAAGGCATGGCGATGTCCGGCTCAAAGACACCCCCTCCTGCGTGTCCGGTGGCAAACCTGAAACCTGGCGATGGGCTTTTCGAAGACAGACTCACCTCTAAGCCTCTAAGTTCTAGTGATTTGGAACTACGGACAGCTACGAGAAACAACAATTTTTTCTCATCCTGTTGTCCTTAAATGAAATGACTGAACACCATGTGGTTCGGGCTCCACATATTTCTTGAGGGGTGAAATCATCTTGAAGCGTTGAATACGTTGCATATCTTTACATTACATTCATTAATATATATACTACTTATAATGTTGGACGCTGATTAGTAATAGGGCCCTCTATACTGCTAACTTTTTGAAAATTAATTATTCCTACTTGTTAAATATTGTCTAAACAATATTTAGGGTTAAGTATATGTCCGTTAGACAAATAGAAATAGTAAATACTACTAAGCCAATGGTTGGCTTGCTGAGAGTATTGACAAGTATCTATTAATCTTCAAAACTGATAGCTTCCCAGAACCATCAATTCCCTAATCAATCCTTTATGTAAAGATTGCTCCTAAACAAATTTTCAAGGTAGTAGA